ACCTACTTCTGTCAAGCAGGAAGACACAACCAAAGCCCTCCCAACAGATGGCCATCTAACCAATGTTTGAAGACCTCAAAAGAAGCCCTTTAAGAAAGTATATCAATGGAGAGGACTGGAGCAGTATATCCCATTTAAATACAAAGGGCCACCCAAAGGTCATCTAGACCAACATTTTTTTTGCCATTTAAGAAGCAACTAAAGCCTTCCTGACAGATGACCATCCAACTGATGTTTTAAGCCCCCCAAAGTCCACAATTTGAGGTGGGGGAAGTATATCCTATTCAAATACAGAGGGTCACCCAAAGATCATCTAGTTTTGCAATTCAAGAAGTGCAACGACAGTTCTTCCTGACAGTTGGCCATCCAACCCTCTCTATTTGAAGGCTTCCAAAGAAGTCCACCATTTTTTTGAGGCAGTATATCCCATTTAAAAACAGAGGACCATCTAGAGGTCATCTAGACCAACTCTTTTTTGCCATTCAAGATGCAACTAAAGTCCTCCCGACAGATGGCCATCCAAGCAATGTTTGAAGACGCCAAAAGGAGTCCATCTTTTTTTTTTTGGGAAGGCATATCCCATTAGATATGGTGAGCATCCCAAAGATCATCTAGTCCAATCCCATTTTGCTATCCAAGAAAACTCAACCAAAACCTTTCCATCAGATGGCCATCCAACCAATGTTTGAAGACCTCAAAAAAAGTCCACCATTTTTTTTGAGAAGGTACATCCCATTAGATATGGAGAGCACCCCAAAGGTCACCTAGACCAACCCTTTTTACATGAAAGATGGCCCTCCAGCCTTACATTTTCAAACCCACCAAAGAAGGTTAACAGTGAAGCATTTCTCCTGACTCTCCTTTTTCCAGACTTTGCAAAAAAATTGTTGGTTTGTTTTTCCAGGTCGAGGTATAGGAGGCCTTTGTGCCCAAAAGAGGTGGAGAAGGTTTTGCAGAACACAGAGTGTGGCATTCAACGGGTTGGTTGGTTGGTTGGTTGGTTGGTTACTCAGAAGTTCCGGCTGCAAAAAGGAGGACAAAGAGCCCTCTGAGCCTGAATCACCCAGAAGGAAAGACTGGCACCCAAGTAAGGCGGGACAACACGCCGTTGCAACAACGCCCCGTTTTCTGCAATTAGCCAAACAGGCAACACATACACACGGAGGGGAATGAATCCCAGGATTGTAGTAGGGATTTAAACATTATTATTATTATTATTATTATTATTATTATTATTATTATTGTAGGTTCTCTTCCAAAACTCACAGTGAGATAGTCCCGTTCCTTTGCAAAGAAAAAAACCACATTTTCGAAGCCTTTTTGCATCATGCAGAGCATTTGCAGCTTGCAAATATTTTAGGCTGCAGAACAGCAGTTGGGAATAATTTTGGGAGAAAGGCAATGAACTTGATTATTTCTGGAAAATGGGAGAACAAGGGGCTCCTTAGGGAATATATATATATGTGTGTGTGTGTGTGTGTGTGTATGTCAGAGCATGAATATATATATATATATATATATATATATATATATATATATATACACACGCACACACACACACATACATACATACATACATACGCTCTGTTGTGTGTGTATGTGTATTCCCAAAGTTTGGAAAGTAAATAACAACCACCACAACAACAATTAAATAAATCCATCTACATTTAGAATATATATATACACACACACACTTGCATACATATAGTATATGTTATGCATATAATTTCTCAAAGTTTGAAAATTCTATTCCCAAAGTTTGGAAAGTAAATAACAACAACAATTAAATAAATTCCTCTATGTTTAATATACATACGTACATACATACACACACACATACATATAGCATATGTTATGCATATAATTTCCCAAAGTTTAAAAATTCTATTCCCAAAGTTTGAAAAGTAAACAACAACAACTAAATAAATTCCTCAACATTTAGAATGAATACACACACACACACACATCTCCATACATACAGTATCTGTTATGCATATACTTTCCCAAAATTTGAACATTTTATTCCCAAAGTTTGGAAAATAAATAACAACAAAAATTAAATAAATTCATCTACATTTAGAATATCTACAGACAGACAGAGAGAGGGTATATTATCCCAAAGTTTGAAAATTCTATTCCCAAAGTTGGAAAAGTAAATAACAACCACTACAACAAAAATTAAATAAATCCATCTACATTTAGAATACACACACATAGTATATATTATGCATATAATTTCCCAAAGTTTGAAAATTTTATTCCCAAAGTTTGGAAAGTACATTACAGCAATTAAATAAATTCCTCTATGTTTAGAAAATGTATGTATGTATATAATATGATGTGCATATAATTTCCCAAAGTTTAAAAATTCTATTCCCAAAGTTGGGAAAGTAAATAATAACCACCACAACTAAATACATTCCTAGATGTTTAGAATATATATATATATATATATATATATATACACACACACACACACACACACACATACACACACACACACACACACACGTACACATACATACATAGTATATGTTATGCAT